TGGCACACTGGCACACTGGCACACTGGGCACACTGGGCACACTGGGCACACTGGGCACACTGGGCACACTGGGCACACTGGGCACACTGGACCTACCCAAGCACTTGTAATAGGTTATAATATAGGATATTGTAATAAATTAAATCTAAAAATATTTAATTTTGTTTAGTGAAATTGCTTAATGTTTAAGAAATTATAATAATGGTTTATTATTTTTTAATCCCGTATATATTTTTTGTAGAAAAATTCTACATTTATTACATTTATTAACCTATTACAAGTGTACTCTAGTAGGTCCAGTGTGTTCAGTGTGCCCATTGTGCCCAGTGTGCCAGTGTGCCAAAAGTCAGTGTGCCAAAAAGTCAGTGTGCCCAGTGTGCCCGGTGTGCCCAGTGTGCCAAAAAGTCAGTCCCCCGATAATTAAGTTTTTAAATTAGTTTGACAAATTGTTGTAAAAATATTTAATGAATTTACAGTTTGGCAAAATTTGAATATCATATAAAATATATAATTATTTTGATTACAGTTTTAGAAAACTATAAACACCAAGATAATATTTTTCCTTATAAATACTATTTTGTAAAATTTTGTGTATAATTCAGTTGATTAATAAATTTAATAAATTTCAATTTTCAATTATTTTAAACAATAAATAATGCGCTTATTTAGATATTATGAAAATAATTTTATTTGAGATAAATAACCTCCGACAATTACAAAATATATGATAAAAATATTATAATAAATACAAGTAATAGTAAGTAATAAATTGCATAATAATATAACAATTAAAATGATATTCAGTTATAATTATGACATCAATTGCAAAAATAGGAGTATTTTTTAAAATACAAACAACAGGGACATTTCATAAATATTACATCAACGTGTAATTTAAAATAAACAATAAAGTGGACGGGTAGCTGAAATACTTCCAGTCCTTTCATACAAAAAACATTGATTATATTACTTGTCAACAATTATTAATTAACTACCTATTTCCCTAACGTACCTTGATAATTAATTCTGTACATTACATGGCAATAAGTAGTTCAATAACAATGACATTGCTCATAGCCTAGTAAGCTAACATTTTTAAAAATTCAAAAATTATCATTAAATGGCAATCAAATAGGTAATCAAAAATATGGTTGATATGTTTGTGTGAGCCTGGTCATATTTAGCGTCGTCTAAGCTTGACACGTTCATAAGCGCCCAAAAATTGTTTGCAATTGGGACAGTTATGCATGATGTCCTGGGTGGGATTGGCGCAAAATGGTATCAGGCAACATCCACAGAAGCACCTGGATCATAAATTAAAAATATTAATTGTTTATGCATTAGGCGTGTGTAATTTTTAAAATATAATATAAATATTAATATTATGGTAAGCTAAATATTTATTTTAGTGTTAAATCTATTAAACATTGATGTGTTTGTAAAACATATTTATATTACAGTGATTAATCATGTTTATATTATAGAAATTAGTTTATGATTATTAATTGATACTAGCTACGAGTTTGACATCTAATTATAATTTATTAATTATAGGGAAATGGAGTTTTGTAAGGCATAATTATTTATATACCTATTTTTACTAAACTAAAATTTTAGTAAAAACACAAAATATATGTAAATTAACTAAACAATTTATAATACCCCGGTAAGTTAAGTATTATTATAAGCTATCAATTAAAATATTAAATGATAAATAATTTAATTAAAAGGAAAATTATTTAAAAAAAACTTTTTTATCAAATGTCCCCCAAATGTCGGAATAAATAACTTCATTATGAAGTCATTGGTGAGTCTTATCGCCTGTTTTCGCACTACTTATTAAACTTCAAATTAGAAAAAACTATTTCTACATTAATATGAAATGTGTTCATGGTCATATATTTACCCGACGAGACATAGCAGTGAGCACAGGGCCCACGTGATAGTACCGGCCTTTTTGTTGGTCACTGTCATGACCTGTTGGCCGCAGTGGTAGCACTTCATGGCCTTAGGATAGGGACCAAACTTTCCCGTATCGATCACTACCGTCACTATTAGCGTAGAAAACAAATACAAAAAACAATATTAAAATATACAGTACAAGGAATGGGAGGTTCGGTATATTCAATAACATGTATATACCTTATATCATAATAAAATACATAGCATGTACGGTATAGCTAGTTTTAATAACTTAATTGTTTTAATTGGGATAGGTAGGTTCGGTATATTTCAATAATATGAATACTAATTATAATATAATATATCATACTAGCTAGGTATAATAACTTAATTTAAAGCAAATTAATTGTTTTAAATTGAGGGACTGGTAGGCACTGTATATTAACTATGACACAATAATACGTAGCATGCTAGGTAGTTATAATAAATTAATTATTTTTAATTATGGCGATGTAAAAGTGTATATACCTGGTTGTGGTGGATGTACCGGTGCCATGGCTGGTGCTACCGGTGCGTTGGCCTCCAGGTTCATATTGTAAGGGGGTGGCGGGTCGTACTGGCCCTGGGGTTGTGGAGGGGCGTGTGGCTCCAACTGTCCGCCCATTTTATCCATATNTTGTGCCCAGTGTGCCAGTGTGCCAAAAGTCAGTCCCAATATTACCCATCTCAATTAACTTGAATCTGTTTAAGAATCCCATAGTTAGCGCACTGTTTGCACTGGTCTTGGGTAACGCACTGGCAGTCACCCAACCGGCGCCATAGTCCCGGTGCGCATTGACACACGTTAGGCACACACTGTTCGGGACGGATCTGGATGTCAGGGCAGCCGCATATGTCCGGAAAGTACGTCCCGCACGTCATGGTGTCGTTCATGTAAATCTCACCAGGGTTACACTTGCCCTCGGCTATAGGTGCCTGGCATTTGTTTAGCGCCACATACCGTATGTCTAGTAAAGTAAATATTTGATTTGTAACGATAAGTATGTTAATAAAATAATCAAAATGTTTTGTTAAATTAATACATGTACTGGTTAAGCTGTAATTAATAGCAATTATATTAGTTTAAATAACAAAAAATATTTGTTTATAATAATTATGGAAATAGAACAGAAAGGTCTTTTTATTTTAAAAAGTATTTTCTCAATATGTTTGGGATTACATTATACATATTTCTACCTTGGACAATAATTGTGATGAATATGACTTTACCCATTAATAAAATAACTAAACATTTTTATAAATAATAAAATTGAACTTTTTTATTACTTAACAGTTCATATGACTAATTTTTATTAAACTAATTATCGATTATTTTTACAGACAGACCATGGTACAAATATAAATTAGCATTTACTTACTCGGACAACACTGCAATGGTATGCACTGTCCGCCCAAACTATCGAATACCCACCCGTCCGGACACCGGGTAAAACACCCCCGTTCACAAGTAGGTGGTACACAGCATGTGGGCCTGGGGTCGGTACAGGTAGCTGGACATGGCTCACGACAACAGCATTTAGTGCCATTAGCGCATGGTATTTGTCCAACGCAACCTAGGTTAATTAATTATTATTAACATATTATGTTTTTAATTTTGTGAATTAATTTATACATACTGTCAGTACAAATGTAGCGATTTATGTCTAAACTGATACTGGTTATTAAACATATTGAGCTTGTTGATATTAGTAAACTAATTAAGATTAAACTGGTCATATTTAACAAATATTTAGTTTTTGTGTAAATTTATATTTTTTAGAACTTATAAAATATTATTTTATTTTCATTTAATTTCAAAAACTTTTATAACTAATTGTATTATAAGTATGTTTTTCAAAATTGTTTTGTTGTTTTATTTAATACAACTATTGTTATTCATTTGAATTAAAACATTTATTAATTGAACACATTTTTGTGCTTTACACTATATAATTTTTATTATTGAAAAATTTTCAATATAATTTAATTTAGTATAATATTTTATAATAAAAAATATTATGTTATAGTACAGTATAACTATTTATTATTTAATTATTAATAATATTAGTGAAGTTGTTATGTTTGCAAATAATTATATTAAATATCAAAAAGCTATATAACTTTAATTTTAATCTTAAAATAAATTTAAAACTTTATTGACAGAATTATATTTACAAAAAAATATTTTATTATAAATGCATGTTTTGTAATTTAAATTATAAAATTATTTTATTAAAAATATATAATACTCAATATTTAAAGTATAAATAAATATATGCGGTTAGTTAAATTGTTAATGTGTTATAGTTCATTTTAAGTTTCAAAATATTTTAATAGCTTTAATTAATTATTTTTTAAAACATTTATCATTTCAGACAAAATAGTTTAAATATTGTAAATTTATTTTTTAAAAATATTCATAATATACAAATATTTTTAAATTATTAATTGAGTGTCATGAAATTCAGAAACATATTTTAAAACTTAAAATCTTATAAGATTATTTTAAAAATTTATAATTAATTAAGATAAAAAAACTGGTTATATATTATTATAAAATTATTTATAACATACATATAATAAAATTTATGCACTTTTTATTTTATTATGAAAGTGTATCATAATAAAATTCATAAATATTATTTTTTAATTAATTTAAGAAAAGATTTTCAAACTGTAAATTAATTAATTTACCTAATTCATAATAGCTAGTAATTTTTAAAATTTACTTTTAGCATAAGGGGAAAGTCGAAATTAAATATTACAATGCTAATTAAATAATTTTTAAATACCTATTTAAATATTAATCACTAAAATAAATACACACAAAATAATTTAATAATTTTAGTCGATGTACTTTATTTATGACTGACAAATAGCGTCATAGGATTTTACACATAGGGCTGTCGTATTGAAATTGTTGGCATTCCCATCGCACCGGCAGTACGTAAATGGCTCGCATTTGTGGGCTGTTGGGTTGCAATAGTACCTGGGTCCATGGCTGGCCTACAGGGTCCCACATCATATTTTGAGTAACAATCTAGGTACAATTTAAAAATTATATCATCAAATATGTTAGAATAATTTTTAACTCTAAATTAATTAATGAAAGTATTTAATTTAACAAATAATCTTGAAATTTTGCATGTTGGTTATTTTGGACTTTATGAATCTTTTTTTTTTGCTTATTGACCACACAGAAAGTGTGCGAGCTCATTATGTGTAAAATTATTTTAAAGTATTATATTTTTTTATGTCTACCTTATTATGTTGGATATTTTGTAAAATATTTATAACATACACATTTAGCTATCAATGGATTTAATAATAAAATAATATAATACAAGATTATTATTGATATCTTGCTAAAATGTTTACTAACTTAGAGTAGTAACCCAGTATATTTCAGTAACTTATGGTATTCATTAATCAATATCTTAAAAATGTTAAGTCTGACAATAATTATTATATAATTTATAATTATATTAAAAATAAAAAGCTGTAAAACATATTAATTTAATTAAACATATAATCAGATGATATAAACATTAAAATATTTGGTAGACATCAAGTAGACATTTTGAAAATAGTAAACTATTTTAATTATCTAAGTCCTAATAACTAGTTTTTTAAATTAATTTAATAACGGTGTTTATAAAAAGTTAATAAATTTTATTATGATAAAAATTATATAGATTTAAATATCTATTTGATTCTAGTATACGCTTTTTATTCTTATGGAAAAGCGTATAAAAAATAAATTCAAATCAACATTAAGTTATAACAATATTAATTAAAAATTCTGCCATATGTAAATTATAGTAAATTCAAGTTTAGATTTTACAGTTTAATTAAACAAGATCTAGATTTTAATTAATGGATCAGTATGACATACAACTTTTCACACAAACTAGTCCAAAACTGTAAAATATTTTTTAAAAATATTTATAATTTATAATTATTTTTAAAAACATCAATGACAGATTATTAAATCAAAATTGATAAAATTATTTCAAAGCATTTATTGTGTATTTTAGTTCAATGATAAGTACATTAATTATTATAAAATTATATGCATTACATTTGTAGTTATAATAATTTAATGTTTTATCGCTGAGTTGGTCACCCTATCTATGAATGGCAAACGGGTGCGGGTCTATTGACCTAAAACCAATTGACCTAAA